AATTTATACAGTTCGGGTCAGAAGAACGATTTCAGTCGATTTAGCTAAGTACGTCTGTTCAACAAGACCAAAGAACTTATAGTAACGAGAAGCTGCAAATTTGTTGCAACATCGAACCTGCTTCAAAAAATTTCTGAAAAACATTGGAAAACGGATTCACCACACCAGGAAAGGGATTCACTACACTTTATATTACAGCCACTGATAATGTTAGCAGATATCGCATGAGATTTTCTGCTAAAAACAGAGAAATCGTATTCAATTATTTTTTCAATTTATTGCATACTTTTGCTTTGGCAATATCAAGTGTGCTAAACAGGAATTTAATGTAATTGAAAAATATAAAAAATATAAAAAATATAAAAAATATGAAAAATTATAAAACTAAAAAATATTAAAAAATTATTTAATAAAAAATTGTAAAAAATAATATTTTTAAAAGTCAGTAAATATATTAAAATGTATTGAAGAAATTCGATGTAAAGGAATAAGCTAAAAATATATTTATTTTATTGAAAAAAATTCTGTTCGACTTATGAATGCCTGAAATTACAATTGCACTCGTTCCTAATAGTTCCTCATGGTCGTTCTTTAGAATATTATTTGAGATTTTGTCAATACTGTTGTCAGAGATCTAAATGATTACCAATTACAACGAAACTTCAAAGTAATCAGTAGCGTAATGGTTTGCGTCAATTGACTTTCATATCCCTCTTTCGCGTTTTATTTTTTGAAATTGCCAATTGCCCATACACTGACTCGGTTCAGATTTGAAGCTTTAGACAGAACTCCCCCTAAAAAGCATTCAAAAGTTTAAAATTTGTTTCGTATCAAGAACTAAACATGGCCACCGAAAATCATTGAACCGGAAGACTTTATCCAATTACCCACTCCTAACAATTTTTCAGATATGAGAATTAATATTTGGTACCAAAATGAATGTAATACAATAAATTTGATATGGAATGATAAAGCCTGTGGGTGACCGAAGACAGTTTTTTTAGCGGCAGCGTCTTTCATTAATGTGAAAGTTCTGATTGGAAGACGCTGCAGTGGTCTGGTAGTCAGTTTCTACTCATATTTATTGCGAACATGTGAGAGTGAATTTCACAGCCCAATTTTTTATTGAGCTTTGAGCCGTCTGTAGAGATAGCTATATCACCCTTTTCACTGGCGTTCGGTTTTTTCCCATTCGTTCAATTGCGACAGTGGTGGAGTGTTGCTCGTTCACCACTTCTTCAAGGTATCAAAATTTAGCATGATGTAAACTGTAATTCCTGAAGACCATCACACGATTACACCGTAAAATCGGATTGGTCAAATTATCGCTGTATAAATCCAGTACACAATATTCGGCTTAACACTCCATCACCCTTGACATTTCTGTCATGATCCGGCTCTAGTTGAATTGTTTATCTAAGACTATCGCAAGATCTTTGCCTGCGGTAGAGATTGTGATAAGTGGTGATGATGTTTTAGACGTGTGTACGTCTCAAAGTCCTAATATCGACTAGGATCACTAGCTTGTCGCAGCGAAGATACTTAGGGAAGGTTTCAAGACTGGAGCGAACTCTTGTAGGACAAAGGTTGGTGAACTAGTGTGTTGTGCTTTCTGCAGCCTAGATATGGAAGCGGAGAATAAGGGTCTGGAGGTGAACGCAGGCAAGATGAAATATCTCCTGTCATCAAACAAAACAGGCATCGCATTCGCGACTCGGCTCCCACGTCACTGTTGACAGTCATAACTTTAAAGTTGTAGAAAACTTAGAACCAGTACTAACATGAACAACAATGTCAGCCATTAGGTGCTACTTTGGACTGAGCAGGCCGTAAAAAAGTAAAGTCCTCTCTTGACGAACGAAGACTAACCTCGACACGTCGCTCCTCGTACTTGTCCTGCTATAGGGTACAGAGATATGGACGATGACAACATCTGATGAGTCAGCTTTAGAAGTTTTCGATAGTAAGGTTCTACATATGCTTCTTTGACCATCCTCGGGAACTTTTAGTACTGCAGCTGATGGAATGATGAGCTGTATGCAATATTCAGCAGCAACTGTGAAAGTTTTCGATGTTTCGACCCCATATCCCTTGATAGGGGGTTAGATGAGTTGGTTTAAGAGTGCATGCGAAGAGGTGGTTAGTGTCGTGCGGAGACTCTCCATATGTAGAGCATACGTTGGGTATGCTACAAAATTCAGACCGGCGTTGTGTCAGGGTCACGCGGGTCTCTCGAGGTAGCTCGAGCTCGTCGTCTGCTATAAGTGGTGGTTTTTTTTTCGAGCACGTCATTCACTGGAAGGTAGTCCTTGAAGGTGTTGACTGACTCCTGGTGAATGGCGTTCAGTGCTTGTCTATACGCCGTCCTGTCGAGGGAATGTTGCACGTGTTGCTGGATTGTGTCCTTAAGATCTAGTACTCCATTTCTGATGTGCCTAGTTCGAGGTTCAGCTTCTATTACAGCAAAGTATTAAGCTTCTTAACTCGTAGCATAGGTGCTTCGCTGGGCATGTGATGCTCCCGCGACATCAGGAGGTTTCCTGTCGCGGTCCTGACGGCGGTGTTCTGGCAAGCCTGTAGCTTCTTCATCAGCGTCTCGTTCGTCCCCGGCGCGCATAATTTACGACCGGTCGGCCAATTGCTTTATATGTTGCCAGCAAAGTTTCTTTGTCTTTTCCCCAGTTGCTGCCGGCAAGCACTTTGAATATTTTGATGTGGTTCTGGAGTTTTGCGGTAATTGCGGTCGTGCAGAGTGAAGGAGTGCAGACTGTCTAGTGTTACTCCTAATATCTTTGGGTTATTTACCGTCGGAATTTTTGTGTCATCAACCTTCACATCTAGTTCAAGCCTGTACTCCTTCGTCCAGTTGGTAAAGAGGGTAGGCGAGTATTTAGTCGGTTGTATTTTTGGTTGTCGTGCAGTGAGAAAGATCGGCAAGGTAGCCGTTCACTTTCGAACAGAGGTCGTCAATACAATACAATCCATTATCGTACAATCATTGGGATACGAAGAGAAACTCCTTCTGGTGGAGGAGGGAGTTTCGAGATGTAGAAATTAAACAGTAGCGGAGAAAGCACACCACTCTGCGAAACCCCATTTTAAATTTTTCTGGGTTTTGACGTTTCACCTCGGAATATTACCGATGATTGTCGACCGCTCAGGTAGCCCATGACCCACCTCTGCAACTCGGCGGTAATGAGGATTCCTCAATGTCCGTTAGTAGCACTGAGTGATTGGCTGAGCTTTTGACAAATTGTGATTGGCTGAGTCAAAAGCTTTTGAAAAATCCAGTGCGACCAGGACGGTTTGCGCGCAGGCCGACATAACCCCGTTTAGTACTCGCCGGTGGTGGTGCAGAAAAAGGAAGACCTTCCACCTTGGGAACATCAGGTGGAGAAAGATCTGAAAGATCTAGGCCAGTAAAGTGGAAGTAGAATGTTTAAAACAGAAAAGAGTTGCGTGGATTGGAAAAAGCATAATCTCTCATTGGGGACTATTTTGAAGACAACAGTTCTATTACTCGTGTAGAATTTTCAAATCTTGTATTTGTTCGAAAAATGTAAATTCTCAAACTTTTTTAACACTCCTCTTTTGTCTCTTAAAGCTTTGCATCTAAGCTTTCAAATCTCTTGAAATATAAATTGTAATTTACGCAGACTTTCCAAAGATTTCGTAAGACCGTTATTTTATTTCATTGAATCTTTTGATACATTTTAAATCATCGCGAGACATTCAACCATTTTGCACAATCATCCGTGGCAAAAACAACAGAAAATGATGAAGAAGATCAACAAACTTTTAATGGCGCTATAGAATTAGCATAACAATAAACCTTTGTCGGCGATGGGGTCTATTATAATAAATATTTTTTGGCCAGCTAGTAATAGGCCATTTTGTCCAACCAACTGAGGCATTTACATAAATGAGCAAATGAAATTTGGACAAAACATAAATAATTTGGAAAAATATTAAAAAAAAAAATTCAAACTAGTATGACAAAGTAGGTACATAGCGTAGTGGAAGAGAGCAGACATCATGCACGCGACCAACTGTCACTCACTCAGTCAAGTTTAAGGTCAAATCAGCCATACTTGGCTAATTGCTCGGACGTTGCCTGCTTACTTGTCTGCTTATTTGGCTCGTTCATTTTGAATTATGCTGTTGCTGTTGCTGCTGCTGTCGCTTTGGCAAACTGCAGTGAGCGGTCTGCTCGTACGTGCGTCCATCCCTCCGTCCATTCGACGGAGCGTGTCCGTGTCAAATCATTGCCGGTCGTTTGTGTTTGTCTCACTTCTTATATGGCTTAACCAACTTACTACAGTAAAACAGGTTGCCGCAAAGCGGCTATGTCTAGTCACGTCACACACATACGTACATGCTATGTACGTGCCTACTTATGTAGATATGTACATGCATTATTATAAATGTTTATTTGTGCTGTTTTTAAACAAGTTTTCGCGCGTATGCCATTTGATTTTTAGTCAAATCACTTGCCAATGATCAATATCAGCTCGAGCGGAGGACTTGTTGTTGGTATTGTTAGAGGCTTCGCGCTCATGTTTATGGCACGCGTAATTTCTTCTTTTATTTTTTTTTTTATTTATGATATTTTTTTTTGTTCATTACCAATGATTTTCTTTCTATTGAATCGGCTAACAAACTCGAAACCCATTTCCACATATTTTCACCAATGCGCATGCTTAAATTCGTCGTAAATTAACAAGCGAGCGCAATTAAAAAGTTGTTAACTATTGTATTTACCGCTATCAAGAAGTATAAAATCAAATCTCTTTTGTGCATCCACCTTTCGTTGGGAGAAAAACGTGTCTTGGCTTACAATGACTATCATAAACTTTATGACACTTCGTCAGTCGTTTAAGGATAAATTTATTCAGATTTGCTGTCCGTACAAGTAATCTTTATTAAGTGCTTTTGCTTTAATCCCGCCTGTCAAAGAACGTTAACAATTTGTTTTTTCTTTATATTCTTGTATTTTTCAGATTCCTCTGACATTGTCGATTGCAAACTCAAATTGATACTCGGCTTGATATGGACACTCATTTTACATTACTCAATTTCCATGCCACAATGGGATGGGGAAGACGAAAGTCAAGTAAATGGTTCTGGGCCAACACCCAAGCAAAGGTGAGTTTTTAAATTTCAATCGTTTTACCTTTACACTCCAATCTTCAGTCACAGCGCATCGGCTTACTGGAGATCTATTGAATCCCTTTAAGCTCAGTTAGTTACAAGATGAGAAGTAAAGTTTTTTAAAAAATGCTTTCGAACTTTCAGTTATTTGTTTGGTTGAATGAGCGAGGTTTGGAATCGCGCCTAAGTCAATGAACAGCATTAAGCATTCTGCTTCCCCGTGTATACCAATTAAACGTTTGCGAAAAGATCGCTTAATTTTATAAATTAATTTAGTTTCTTCCCACCCAATATGCGCACTTCAGTGGGGTTGGAACTGTTAGCATAGTGAAAGATGTGACATTTCAGTCGGCTGTTGGTCGGACGCTTACAAAGGTAGTGCTCCAGCGTTTCCTCATGCTCTATGCATGCTCTGCATGCCACCGATTCCAGTCTACCTATCTTATGGAGCTGATAGCTCGGGGCTAGATTGTATGTCTACCATCCACGATGCCTTACAATAATATAGTGGTACATTATACATTGGAAGTGTTCCAAGACCTTAAGTGTTCTTTTATGGTCCACTGTTTTAAAACACATTTTGAAGGTGTTCAACTGTCTAAAGCAGTCGGTAGTGAGAGCCTCGCCCGCCTTTTCGTTACCTTCTACATATCTGTGAGCTGGCACCCAGGTCCTATACACTGTGTTTCCACGCATTGATCAATAAATTGTTTCTCTGCATGGTCCTGCGTGTTTGGACTTTATGCTGACGTACTTAGTGATTTCAATTGCCGCTTAGCTGTCTACACGAAACCATATAGATTTCCCTATTAAAGCGCTGCCTATTTGGCACCTTCAGTAAAGCTCACAATCTCTGTTATTATTATTGACGTGGTCACAGAAGAACCTCTATCCCGTGCCTACCTCAGATCTAAACCCATCCATTCTTCCCTACTAGAGAAGGTTCCCGCTTAGTCCGAGTTCCATTATAATTTTCTGAATGCCACCATTACCCTCACGGACCCAAGGAGGAGGTAGTCCTAATTGCGCCTACTACATATACCAAGTAGATAGGTACGTTGTAAGAGTTTGATAAGGAAAATCTTCTTTATGTCGCCCACCACACTAGTGCTGTATATGTTAGTACGGGTCTTACGACACTTAGGTAAAGCCAATGCACCCCAAATTTGACGCAATCGCTCTCCTGCAGAATTCCAAATTCCGTGCGCTTTTCTAGCCTTGCTTTCAACTTGTTTCCTCCAGCTAAGTTCTTTTTAATTAAGGATTAGACTGAGATACTTAACAGAGTTGGAAGGAAAATTATATGTTATATTTTAAAGGGGGTGAGTTGCATTGATGAACTTTTGTCTTTCCATTAAAGAAGTAAAATTCAGAATTTTTCGAGTTCTTCTCTAAGCCCGCTCTCTCTATTTTCGGTGAGAGTCAGTTGCGATGTTTGTCAAAATCTTCTTTAAATCTCCGTTTAGTATCGAACGACCCATACAGGTCCTTTACGGAAGCTTTAGTGTTGCCAAGCATCTATTTGCACAGCCGTGGAAGTTTTGCGGCGATATTTAACTCAGAGAGAGTGATATAAAGACAACTCCTTTTCATGCTATCAGCTGCTTCTTTGACATTGATAAGGACGGTTGGTCCAATGATAATACGCGCAGACTGTTAGGTTGGCGGAGCACACTGAGGTTCATTAGGAAACAAACCCATTAACTGTTCGTCTAGAGAACAGAATTGGACGCTTGTCTAAAATTCAATTCTAATGAAGACTATCCTGCACTGGCGAGCTGCTCGCTATAAGCACATTTAAGAGCTTAAAATAGATGGTAAAGCAGCATTAGGGAATTTAAAGTTCGGAGAAAAAGTACTAAATGAGAGAATTATTCTCAAACGTCACTTGAGGATTATGAGAGACGCCGCGATATTCGCTCTGTAGATCGAACACAAAACTACTTAGCGACCTTTTTCGATTTATTGAACAGCTGGCGAGAGAGAAACCAAATCTATTCCATAATATCTGTCATTTGCTAACTGGAAAACATACCCAGATCGTTCAGCGATCTTTCGTAAGCCCTCAAAGGAAAAGAATATACATCTATGTGGATGGTCAAGCGGCTTTAAAGGCCTTAATTTCATACAGCACCAAGTCAGCAGTGGTAGAATGAGAAAATAAGCGATTCAAGCACTGGTTGAAAACAGAAGAGTGCACATTTACTGAGTACAAGGCCACACGGGTACTGAAGGTAATGAAATAGCTTACGAACTTGTGCATTTAGAACATAATGCAGCATCGAATCTCCAGTTCCATTCAAGGAAGGCAGGAAACAGCAAGGAATAATACTGCGAATAGACGCTGGAAACGAGCTAAGGGCTGCTGAATCGCGAAAACTATGTGGAAATCATGCAATACTAAACTCACAAAGTTTGTACTATCTGTTAAGAGAACGGATCCCAGACTGCTGATAGAACTATTAACGGAGCATTGCCATCGGGCGTCTCAGGAGCTTAAGATAAGTTTGACTCCAGAAAACAAGTGCAGAAAATGCAAGATATGCACGGAGACAGTGGAGCACATAATCTGCGAATGTCGGGCTTTCGGTAGACAAAGGCTATGTATACTTGGCGCAGAAAGACTACAGCAGCTAATATCAGCAATGGCCAAAGGGGCTAGAACGACTATTTTAATTTGCGAAAACAACAGCAATGTTATTCACAGCATAGGAGCACAACTTGTTTGCATGTAATCTGACTGGCAACTCTTATGGATGCGTTTCGTCTATGTGAGACACTCTGCGTCAGCTAGCTTAACCTAACCATACCTTTCCTTATGTGGAATTAAGCCGATGCTTAAATACCTGCAGCTTCTACCGATGCTACTACCAGTGGTTAGTAGTGTGTATTACTAAGCAAAGGGTCATAGATTCTAGTCCTGGCCAGAAAACTTCCAAATATTATAGAAAACAAATTTAGAAAGCCATTTTTTTTAACTGTGATTGCCTCTCAACAGGAAATATCAACCTCTCCTAGTATGTTTTATAGCTCCTCATAAAATTCTATCAGCCATTCGTAGTTGGCTTAGAAAGAACTTTGGGTTCCTATATTTGTTGGAAAAACAACAAGACACACCCCAAAATATAGAAAGAGCTCGTCCGTGGTAATAAAGCTTCCCTTTTCTATAAATATTTCTCTGAATTCACAGTTAGCAGTTGAACTAGTGTCAGTCTAGTTGCCAAGGGAGAAGGTAGTCGGTGCCGAATGTTCAAGAGCTTTCTAGAGCACTAATTTGGGTTTTATTTAAAACATTATCTTTAAGATTTGATATACCACCAACTTTTTTCCACACAGATTGCTTAACTGGATACACACCCGCATACCCGAGATGCCCATCAACAATTTCACTAATGATTGGACAAGCGGCAAAGCGGTGGGCGCTTTGGTCGATGCCTGTGCACCTGGTCTTTGCCCCGACTGGGATATGTGGGATCCAAAGGATGCTGTACAAAATGCCTCCGAAGCTATGGGTTTGGCCGATGACTGGTTGAATGTACGACAGCTGATCAAACCAGAAGAATTGGTTAATCCCAATGTTGATGAACAATCGATGATGACCTATTTGTCGCAATATCCGAATTCTAAATTGAAGCAAGGCGCACCGCTACGTCCCAAAACCAATCCCAACAGGTGAGTGTTCTTCTTTCTATTTTTTTTTCTTTTTTAATTTAACGTATTTTCATTAATTATATATTTATATAATAATATAAATTTTTTTTTCTTAATTTTCTAAGTGTGTATAAACTGATTTAACTGCAACTCGCACGTTACTTTTCAACTAGAATTTAAAATAATTTTCGAACTTTCTATCATTTTACTCGTCTTCTAAATAATTCATTAATTTTGTGTGTGCGTGCGCATTCGTTTCTCACCACTTTTAACTCGAATGCCAAATCGAGCAAGATTTTTTCTCTCTACTTAACACCGTTCGAAACTGGTTCTCGTGTTTGAGTTCAATTTTCTTTTTTTTTTGCAGACCGATTATATTTTTTGTTTTTGGTTTTTAATAATTTCTCTTTTATTTTTGTTATTATATATTCCAATTTTTCTAAATACTACATTTTTGGGTTGAAAAAATCTAAAATTTAATTACCATTTTCTTTTTCTTTTTATATATTTGTATTTTTTCTCATATGCGTTACAAAATACAAAATTTTTTATTGGACATATAAATCTTTTTTGTACACAAAAATGCCAAAAAAAAAAAAAAATAAATTGAAACGTGTTAAAATGCAAAACACAGCATTCCTCCACCGCGGTAAGTCTGGAATGCTTGCAAATTCTTTACTTTTTAACTGCTCAGCGCGACGCTAAATACAACAATTCTTTCGTTGCTATTGTTTGGCAAATAACTTAACAGCCATGTAGTTTGTCATTGTTTTTTTTTTTTTTTTTGAATTCTTACAAAGTCTATTTCTACAGTTGAAAATGCATATTTTTAGTGTCCGTAAGCTTTACTTACTTCAAACTGTTTAATTAGTTTTTGTTAATGTTTTCTATGCACATGCCTCTCATCGCTCTGCAACGGCACAAAACAAATGTTAATAATATTAAATTTAATTTCAATAGTATATACATTTGTATGTATTGCAGGCAAACGCTAGAAATAGTTATTAGTAATTTTTTCATAATTATTTTATTTAAATAAGAAATTTTATTTTGGAAAAAACTTAATTAGAATATTAAAATAATTTTTTTTTAATAAAAACAACTCAATAGTAAAATAGTGAAACTGTGAAATGTTAAATTATAATAACTGCAATGGCTGCTGCTACTTAACTCACTAACAGCTGCGTTCATTTGTGGTTTTATTACGATTTTCATTGCATAGCCATAGGCGCTCTCTATATAATATTTTAACACAACTCAAGCAGAGTACTTATAACAGCGCAATTCCTTCAAATAAGCACTGAAAATTTGCCAGAATAGAATTCGCCACAGCTGAAATAACGCTCCTCTCAAAGTGAAATGTTTTTAGCAGAGAGAGGGCAAATGATTTTATGCTAAAAACAGAGAAATTCTATGCAATTATTTTTACTATGTTAATGCATTCCTTTGCTTTGGCCTTCTAACCCAAGAAATCTCAAGCGCATTGAAGAGGAATATATTTAATATACTAATTTTTAACTATTTTTATGAGCAATGTTATGTGAATAATTAAAAAAGATTGTAAAATATAAGTTCTCTGCTCAAACGGCAATTAGCTATGTAAATTAACAGTCAAGTTAGTAAACGAGCTCTAACAGCAGCTCTGTTAATGCTATTTAGCTAACATTAGCAGAGTATTTTAATACGAATGTATGCAATAACAGAGAAGATTAACGGAGCAGTGATGGCCGTAACATATAGGCAGCATTGCATATAAAATACAATGAAATAATAAATTAAATAATAAATTAGGAGTTACGAAACTCAAAAAAAAATACTTGTAATTTTTAAAAAACTTGTTGATAAATGGTTTGCTAATATGTATGTATATGCATATGTAACAACTTTTTGAACAAGAATTCCTTATAATAATTGTCCAGTCTCCAGAGTTAGAAATATCTTTCTAAAAGACATTGCTACTACTGACGATTCGAATCATGGCCAGGCTAAATTATAGAAATATCTCTTATATAATATATGTATGTATATGTAACTATAATATTTCATATCTACCACTATATTTAATAACTAAATTGCCTAATAAAGCTTTCGAGCGCCGATCTCTCGTCGCCGATCCGTTCTGTTGCATATTAAGCATTAAGCATTGCTTGCTCTGCAGCTCTACATGTGTCAGTTAAAAAGATATTAATATTGAATTTTCTGCCGTTATATACTAAAAACTAAAACCTCAACAAAGCATTCAATCATCTCAAATTACTTCCAAACAGAGTACGTGCATACGGTCCAGGTATTGAGCCAATCGGTCCTGTCGTAGGTGCACCAGCCAACTTTACCGTCGAGACTTTCTCCGCCGGCAAAGGTAAGGCGCTTTCGAAATGAATTATTTTCACTCAGATCTTATTTTATTATATTTTCCAACCCGCACAGGTCCCGTCGATGTGGATATCGTTTCGCCAAGTGGTCAAATCGAAAGGGCTGAAGTACGCTTCAACAATGATAAGAATTTGACTTATTCAATTTCGTATATACCCAAAGCTGAGGGTGAACACAAGGTGATTGTCAAGTTTTCGGGTCGGGACATACCGAAGAGTCCGTTCCCGGTTAAGGTGGAGGGACACGCCGGTGATGCATCGAAGGTTAAAGTTACGGGTCCTGGTATACAACCGTCGGGTGTAACCATTTCCAAGCCCACATTCTTCGATATCGATGCTAAAGAAGCTGGCCGTGGCGTACCAGAAGTCATCATCATTGATCCAGCCAATCATAAGACATCTGTAGCGGCTAAGGTACGTCAATTGGAGAACGATGTTTGGCGTTGTGAATATGTTGCTTCGACGCAAGGTCTACATTCAGTTAATGTCTTCTATGCTGGCAATCCAATACCCAATAGTCCATTCCCGGTTAAGGTGGCGCCACTCTCGGATGCACGTAAAGTGCGCGCTTCCGGTCGTGGTCTACAAGCGAATGGTGTACGTGTCGGTGATGATGCAGATTTTAAGATCTACACTGAAGGTGCTGGTGAAGGCGTACCCGAGGTGCGCGTAATTGGACCAAATGGTGCTATGCAAAATATTGCCTTAACCAAAATCGATGGTACCACATATGAATGTCACTACTTCCCCACCAAGGAGGGGCGTTATGTTGCTATGGTCACCTTCGGTGGTCAAGAAGTACCCAAATCACCATTTGATGTTAAGGTGGGACCCAAGAAGGAATCTTCGATTGTGGCCTATGGTCCGGGTTTAAGTGGCGGTGTAATCGGTTACCCGGCCGCTTTTGTTGTCGAAACCAACGGTGAAACTGGCGCGCTGGGCTTCACTGTAGCCGGTCCATCGCAAGCGGAAATTGAATGTCACGATAATGGCGACGGCTCTGCATTGGTCAAATATCATCCCACAGCCGTGGGCGAATATGCTGTGCATATTTTGTGTGACAACGAGGATATACCGAAGTCGCCATTTATCGCACAGATATTGCCACGTACAGACTTCCACCCCGAACTGGTGAAATCATATGGTCCTGGTCTAGAGAAAAACGGCGTTACAATTGGTAAACCACAAACGTTCACGGTAGATACCGCCAAGGCCGGTTCGGCACCATTGGATGTTATCGTCGAGGATGTCTATGGCAAGAGATTGCCTGTCGATATTAAGAATAATCCCGATGGCACAAAGACATGTACGTATACGCCAACTTCGGGCGTACCGCACACTGTTGAAGGTGAGTAGAGAATATTATTTTATGCATTACAGCAACTTATCTTTGTACGTATTGCCCTGTGCAGTCAATTACGGCAGTGTAGCAACACCCAACGCACCCTATCGTATCTACGTGGGCGCGCCCATCGACGCCAGCAAAGTGCAGGCCTTCGGTCCTTGGTTGCAGCCCGGTGTGCGTCCCAATGCACCCACACACTTCAATGTGGACGCACGTGATGCTGGTGAAGCTGAACTCAAAGTGAAGATCGTACATGAAGAGACTAAAGTGGAGGTGCCCTGTCGTATCATCGACAACGAAGACAACACATACACCGTTGAGGTTATACCACCCACCAAGGGAGCCTACACCACCACTATGACATATGGTGGGCAGCCGGTGCCGCTAGGCCAGAAAGTGCTTGTGGAGCAGACATTGGATGTAACCAAGATTAAAGTTGACGGTTTGGAACCAAGTAAGTATGCAGTGATTTTAATGTCTCACCTCTCGTCGCCTCTTTCATTTTTCATCCATGCATATTTTTGAGTCGAAATTGTCGAACCGAAAAAAAAAACCAAACAATAATCAAATCAAAACATGGTTCAGTCAATTGAGTCAATTTAAGAGTTTAAGTTGTTTAAAATCACTTACAAGTACAGTACAAGGTCATCATCTAAGCCCAAACACTTTCGTTACAAACTTATTCACGTACAAGCTGCACCATTGAACAGCCTCCAGCAGTTCCGTATCATTACGCGCGGCCTGCCGAAAGCCGATCTCGCCGTCACCATCACGAGTCCATCGGGCAGTCGCGTACGTGCGCATGTCATACCGACTGCCGAAGGTTTCCTAGTCAATTTCACACCCACCCAGCTGGGTGAATACTTACTAAGTATATGTTTCGGTGGCACACCGATAGCGCCACGCCCCTTTCGCCTGCAATGTCTCAGCGGCAGTGATTCGAATAAAGTACGTGCTTTTGGACCTGGACTGGAGCGAGGACTGGTGGCGCAACCTGCAGAGTTTATAATTGATACACGCGGCGCCGGACAAGGTGGACTGGGCGTGACGGTGGAGGGTCCCTGCGAAGCGGCCATCAATTGTCGTGACAACGGCGACGGTACCTGCAATGTAGCCTATCTACCCACAGAAGCTGGTGACTACACAGTGAACATCACATTCAACGACCGACACATTAACGGTTCACCATTCCAGCCGGTCATAATGCCATTGCCGAATCTGAGCAACACACGCGTTAGTGGTATAGGCATACAGCCACATGGTAGGATATTCAAGTTAAGACGACATCGAAACCTTTTGCATTCGATGTTGTGTAACGATGCTTCGCCGTTTTACTGTTGTCAGCCAACCCGCAAGCGCATGTGTGACTCAAACAAGTACGATCAGCAAAATGGCCAACACAATTTTTTTTGATTTAATGAAAAAACTCCAGTCTCCTCCATCTAACCAAAATGCTTTTGTGTGCCACGCAACGACTGGTCCTGAAAGCCAGCCAAACCAATTCTTATCTATCTATTCTTAACCACTTTGAAGTGAAGCTTCTTTAGGTATGACGGTAAGCTACATCGAGCCCAATGCAACCCTCGGTGTAGCGTATCCGGATTTTAGGTCAAAAACAGTAAGAAATCTGTGCTTGAACATTTTTAATACAAACTAAGGAAGTTTCACTTCACATCGCGCGTAGTTTTGCGCTCACAATTTATCGTTTATAATGTTCGCTCTTACTCTTTACAAACTAATAACAGAATCTAACAGTAAAATAATGCGTAAATGTTTTGAAAGCATGCAAACCCTATGAGCTCGTAAGCAAACCATGGGTTCTCGAACACACGGCGACAGCTTTCAAGCGCAAAGCCTTCCTATGAAGTGTGTTCAAATCAAGTATTTGCGACGTACTGAACCTTTCTAATTCGTCTGCACATGGAACTGTACAAAAGTTGAGAGCTCTTGGGGAACAGAGTAACTTTCCGTTAAGATATCGTGAGACTTTTGCGTGGTTCCTTGTGTAAACGCTGTTGCTATAATTATACACTAATCGCATTTAAATGTTCAATTCAGACGTTCCTAATGTTAAACTTAGTTTTGTTTTTTAAGATTATCTAACTCATCTTTTGTCTTCCGCAACAGGTGTCATCATGAATGCACCCACAGACTTTATGGTGGATATGAGCAAAGTCGGCAGCGACATCGATTCGAATAAACTCTCCTGTGCCATTTTCGATCCCAAGGGTAAAGTACTGCCGAGCAAGATTGCTTCTGGCCCTACCGACGACATATTCCGCGTTGCCTACACACCCTTCGAGGCTGGACGCCATACTATTGAGCTGCTTTACGACAACATTCCAGTGCCTGGTTCGCCGTTTGTGGTGCATGTGAAGAGTGGCTGTGATCCATCGCGTTGCAAGGCGTACGGTCCCGGCTTGGATAAGGGTCTGACAAATCAGCAAAATAAATTCACCGTGGAAACACGTGGTGCCGGCAACGGTGGCCTCTCGTTGGCAATCGAAGGACCATCTGAAGCGAAAATGACTTGTACGGATAATCGCGATGGCAGTTGCGATGTCGATTATATAGCAACAGATCCTGGCGAGTATGATATAACAATACGTTTCGCTGACAAACATATACCCGGTTCACCGTTCCATGTGTTGGTTGAGGAAACAGTTGATCCCAGTAAAGTGAAAGTATACGGTCCGGGCATAGAGCATGGCTTGGTACGCGAAAGCGTACCAACTTACTTCAATGTCGACGTTGGCGAGGCTGGTCCTGGACGTATAGCTGTAAAACTGACAAATTCGGAGGGCATGCCGGTGGATAATTTGCGTGTGGAGGACAAAGGTAATGGCATCTACGCTGTGCACTATGTTCCGCCCAAGCAGGGTTCCGTGCTTACGTGCCAAGTGAAGTTCGCCGACGAGGAAGTGCCATGCAGGTTAGACGAGAATATTTTAGAATTTGTCAAATATTTTTACACTCCTTTCTTTTTTTTTTGCTCTTTGCAGTCCGTTCGTGATGACCGTCTTTCCAAAATCAGAGGCAACTAAAGTCAAAGTTAAGGGCGTTAATGAGAAGAAGAAAACACCCGCCTCACTACCCGCCGAATTTGAGATTGATACCAAAACAGCGGGACAGGATGACATCAATATTGCTATAAAGAATCCGAAAGGTAAACAACTGGCGCCACGCATGGAAGAGGTTGGCAGTGGTACTTATGTAGTTTCATTTGTGCCCGATGAATGTGGCACTTATCATGTCAGCATTAAATACGGTGATAAAGATATCGATGGTTCACCATTCAAACTCGAAGCATTCCCAACGGGTGAGGCAAAGAAGTGCAAGTTGGTTGAGGAGGCGCCCAAAATACAGGCATCAGGTAGCAAGAGTCACTTGACAGTGGATGCACGTGAGGCTGGCGATGGTGCTGTAACCTGCAAGATCACCGATCATAAATCCGGACGGTGAGTAGATTGAGTGGAAGCTTTAATAGAAGAAAGAGAGAGAAAAAGCTAATTTCGATCGTACAACGATGGTTATAATGGCATATTTATTGTATTATTATTGTTTGTCAGCAACAAAATTTTTCTACGCCACTGTATTGACTTTCGAGTTGCCACGAATAATTTTGGTCTGAGGTATGCTAGTACCAAAATGAGAAGAGAGAAAGCTACTAAAATTTATACCGATGGAATCATAACAACGAGCTGAGTCGCTCTGTTTTGACGCGAACGCATTTATGTGACAATATAAAAAGATTAGTTAACATAAAAAACTAAAAAAATGAAATTAAATTAAATTAAAATTGAATAAAATAAAAAAAAAATTAAAAAAAATAAAATAAAATAAAATAAAATAAAATAAAATAAAATAAAATAAAATAAAATAAAATATTTAAAAAAGTAAAGAAATGGAATTAAATCAAATTAAATCAAATTAAATCAAATTAAATAAAGTAAATAATATTTTATAAAAGTAAAAAAATATATTAAAATAATAAAAAATAATATAGTATCAATTATAGAAAAGTAAAATAGAATTAAAATAAATAAATGTATTTGAAATTAAATCAAATTCAATCAAATCAAATCAAACAAAAATAAAATAGAATAAAAATATATAGCTAACCTAAAATAAATGAAATGAAATTACATTGAATTAAATTAAATTGAATCAAATTAAATAAAATCAAAATTAGTAAAAATAAAAAAATTAAAGGAAAAAATTTAAAGTAGCTAAATATATTTGAAAAGTAAATGTATAGTAATAAATTCAAATAAAAATAAAATCAATAAAAAAATATATAATAATATAAAAATATATAGCTAACTTAAAATAAATGAAACGAAATTACATTAATTTACATTAAATCAAACTTAATCAAAATTAATATAACAAAATAAAGTAAAATAAAATAAATCAAAGAAAAAAATTACTAATTAAAAATAAAATAAATAAAATTAAAAAAATATTAAATAAAAATAATGAAACAGGCTAAAATAAAATATAATAATTTAATAGTTAATTCAAATATAATGAAAAAAGATAAAATAAATTGACATACACTTAAATTAAATTTATTTTAATTTGATTAAATATAAAAATTAAACAAAATAATACGAAATAAAATAATATAAAATTAAACAATTTACACAAAAAAAACTGTATTTTTTTTAAATTTTTTTATTTAAATTAAATTAAATTAATTAAAACAAAATATACAAATATTAAATGAATAAAAAAAATCAAAATAAAAAAACAATAAATTCATTGAAGCAAAATATAGAAAAATTAAATGAAATTCAATTAAAAAAAAATAGCAAAAATTAAATGCAAAAAAAATAAATGGGAAAATTAAATTAAACTAAGTGAACTGAAATAAAATTAAAGAAAATAAAATAATATTAAACTAAATTAAATTTAATTAATGAAATTTATCGCAATATCTTTGGAAAGACTTTAAGATATTGAAGGCACTTCTAAAATTTTAACGAAAACTTTCACGTAAAACGTTTTTGATAAAAAGTTTTTTTTTTTAATTAAATGTGAATGCATTTGTAAAATTAACAACTAACTAAAATACTTTTATAAAAAAATACCAAAGAAGAATTTAATTTAATCTCTTTCCATAATTTAACACTTTTTTATTGTTTTTTATAATTATTTCTTTTCTAACAGAGAAATTGTTGATATTGACGTTTTGGAAAAGGATGGCTTCTTTGACATTTTCTATGCGCTAAAGGATCCTGGTGATTACGATATTAATGTGAAATTCGGCGGCAAGGACATACCCAATGGCAGCTTCGCCATAAAGGTAGATTAACGAATTTTCATGATTTTTTTCCAATGACACTTAATGTGAAACTTTACTAAGCAAAAAGTAAAGAAAAGATGAACAAGAAAGCCAAAGAGTGTAAGCTAGTCAAAAAAAAGGATGCGCAGACGAAACCTAAATTAGCAATTATTTTCTAATTAAGCTAAAAAAAAAGAAAGAACTGAAATTCAAAAATATTGAAATTTTTATAAACAACATTTTCTTTTGAATATGTTATTTTTGCTTGATGTTTGTAATTTGAACTCCATCATTTGTTATGTGTTAGGCGTAAATGAAGAACCAATTACAGCGACAGCACAAATACACGCAAACAATTTACATAAAATTACTTTTAAAATAATGAAAAAAAAAACAATAATTAATTAAGCTGCCATAAGAATGTTGCATAAAAATATTACATTAATTTATTTGAATTTAAACAAAGAAAATAAGTTACACAATTATAAGCAATACTTTTTTGCAAACATTTTCAAAACCAAAAAAAAAAAAAAAAAAAAAAAAAAAGAAAAATAGATGAAACTATGTAAAAATCATGAAAAAGAAAAATAAATAAATAAAAAACTTGGTACTCAAGAGCATCACCAAAACAGAAAAAAAAAACAAAAAGACAATAAAGTCCATAGTTCGTTTCAATGAGCATNAAAAAAAAAAAAAAAAAAAAAAAAAAAAAAAAAACAAAAATAGATGAAACTTTGTAAAAATCATGAATAAGACAAATAAATAAATAAAAAACTTGGTACTCAAGAGCATCACCAAAACAGAAAAAAAAAACAAAAAGACAATAAAGTCCATAGTTCGTTTCAATGAGCATGCGCAAAGCTATGTAGTTCAAAAAAAAAAAATGCGCGCTTAATTAAACATAATATTTTTATTTGCTTATACTTTGTTTTGCTAATTGCTTTATTCTAATTTACTGTTAAGAAAAATACTTTTTATTTATTTTTTGTGCAATACTTAATTTTCGTTACTTTTTTTTTAACGCATAACCTACATAGTTTAAGTTGTTTGTGTGTGTTTGTATGTAATATACGTTTTTCTACCCTACAATATAAACATTTATTTATATTATTAACATTTTGCTGCTGCAATTGGTTCGTGCGTTTGCGCAAACACATACACACATACATATGTACATGAAAAATACAAGCAAAAACAAGTTTTACCATTTTTATTCCTTTTTTGATTTTTTTATTAATTTGTTTTTTTTTTTTTTTTAATTTAAATTTTTTTATTATTTTTTTTTATTGTAGGCTTAATAAAATAATTGCTAATTTAATATATGCGCACTCACATGCAACAATGCGTTAACCGTTACGTGTAATTTGCAAGCCGCCTTTATTGTGTGCTTTTTTTTTTATTTTCCTTTTATGAGAAAATTTAATTTTTAACGGCACCTAAATGCAAATTTTAATTATTTTTACATGTAGTGTGTGTAACAGCACAGAGTATTTGCCTACGCACATATGTGTGTAGGTAGGTGCTCGCAAATATGCTTTTATTCATCGTTAAGCTTACGAATGACTGCCGCAAAGATTAAGGCGTTTAAGCAGAAAGAAAGCTAAAAAATGTGCATTATTTACTTCTAACAGTTTTTTACAGCTCTATATGAATACATACACATGTTACAGGTATATCTCGGGTGTATCTCGGGTAATCACACCCCCAACATAACGCGGGAAAATCGGTAGGTAAGAGTACAGCCTTTTGGGCTCCACTCGCGGTAGATGCACCATTTTGATGTATCAATCTTTAAATATTTATTTTATTTATTGTTGTTGTGTTCAATGCATTATGATCTTTGTAGATAGCCATTCAAGGTTCAGTACCTGATGGATTTGCGTTAAATCTAGAGAATCACCGGCAATGTGGTTACAAATTCTTTATCCCTTATTTAATAGGTCCTTTGTTCTTGTTTTATCATGCCTGAGTCTGAGATTTTTGCTCGCATTGTTTATAAATCTCCTTCTTGATCTCTCTTAGGGAACTTGGTATTAATACCACCTCAGATCAGTCTAAAGAGGTTCTCGAATTAGCCAACTCGCCTGCTTTTTGATTATACATAGATAAATCAAGTTGACCTGCCGGTATGCTCAGAGCCTTACTGCAGGTTGTGACTACACTGGAATTAGTTTTTGGCAAGAACAAGGCCTGGCTGTCTGTATACATAGTTAGTTTCTTTCCCGCCTGTTGCTATAAATTAGAGCTTCACAGACCGTCTCTTTACCTAGTACTTCCGCTTGGCAGATGGTAGTGACAAAAAGATATCAAGATCTTTGAAGTATATCCCCACCTCTATGCCACAGTACGTCTTTAGCCCATCGGTATAGATTTAGATAGTATACTCCTTCCTCACGGAACCTCTTCGTATAGAGAGTATCCTCAGCTAGAAGCTCCTATTGAAATACAATCTTGGCAGGATATAGTCCGATGCACATTAAGTGCATCCGAGAGACAAACTTAATAGTCACAGTTGCTGATCATCAAACTAGCATTACTTATGTAATAATTGGTATAATGACAGCTGTATACATCTAGATGGATATATTCGGTTTAAGATCCCAGTCCCTGCTAGCAGATGTCTTGCTTTTGGAGACAGAGATATTGTCCGCTGAGTAATGAAAGATGAATTGGAGGTATTTTGGTTTTACCATATAATCGGACCTTTTTGATTGATTTGGAGTTTTCGGCCAGGCAGGTGAGCTCTGTGTAGGTTAGGTCTTTAGGCCGACAAGTTACGATGGTGTATAGTGTGCTTGGACTTGGTTGTAATACACTTTTGTCAAACAAAATAACAATCATTCACGTGATCCCCTAGTCCCCTAGTCAAGTCATTGGTAGTATAGCGAATGGCGGATGTCTCGGTTGTTGTTTAGCCGTACCAAATAGAAGTCTCACAAGCGTAACACAGCATTTAAGTAGAATTAAAATTTATCTTTCTCACAGGCAATACAAAATATTCGTAATATAAACAACAATAGTCTAGAAATAAACAGAAATCATTGTGTGCCGCTTCGTCTAATGCTATCCCTTTCTCTTCTTTCTTACTCTATTACCCACACACATTTAATAATGATCATTATTGGGACTGCTCCAAAAAAGCTTTCTAGCAGGTTAGTCTTATAAGTATTTTCTTTGAAGTGCTCCTATGATAGTTGGCTAGGCTATAAGTGAAGATATTCGTATAATTATACTTACCTTAGTATGTACATATGTACGAGGGGATTAAAAAAAAGTTCGGTAAGTTGACTCAAAAAAAAAATTATTTTTGTATTTATTCGTAATATTTGCACTTTTTTATCTCCTCCACATAATCGCTACTGATTTCAGTGCATTTCTCAAGCCTATAGATCCACTTCTGAAAACAGTCTTCAAAATCTTGTTGTTTAAGCTTAACAAGTTCGGCATTAACCTCATTACTTACCTCCTCGTTGCTTTGAAAGACCTTCTCTTTTAACTTTTTTTTTTTTAATTTTTGGAAATAACCTGAAATTCCAATATGTCATATGCGGGAAATATGGAGCTGGGCGTATTTCTTCTATTCCTGAATCGCAATAAAATTACTTGTGGGGATTGCACGTTGTCATGATGTAAAAAGTAGCGCCGAAAACCCACCTTTTTCCTGTTTTCCAACAAATTTTTTAAAACATTGGGTAAGCACGCTTCGGTGTACCATTTTGCAGTTACCTTTTGACCCGTTTTCAGTGCAATAGCAGCTACGATTTTAGATCGCGTGAAGTAAACTGTCGTCATTACTTTTGTTGCTGATTTTTGTTGTTTAGATTTTACGGGTGGGTTTGCTCCTGTTGGGCTCCATACCTTGGACTACTGCTGTTTGCTTCCTGGATCGCACTTATAGAACCAATATTTATCACTAGTAACTTTACTTAAGTTTCGAATTTGTTTAGGAAGAAGTGAGCAAATGCACTCGAACCTCTTTTTGGGCCTAATTTAAAATTCGTGGAACCCATTGAGTAGATTTTTTCGTGTGTACCAGATGATTATTTAATACGTTTCATTCAAACCCAATTCATTAAAAATAGTTTCTTGTCTCCATCGATGGTCTTCGTTAATTTAGTACTTAATCAGAGCTACAGTGAAGTCATCAGTGCAAGGTTTTGGTCGATCTTCTCTGAGCTCGTCCTCTACGGAAGAATGTCCAATCTGGAATCTTCGAAACTACTTAGAAATGCTCGTTAAATACGTTGCAATCAGGCATGCAATTTAGCATTCGCTGGATATTTGTAGTGACTGTAAATTACGCCGAAACCCGTAGATAATCACATGGCGAATATCTGTTGGTGTTGGAATTTCGTCAGACCTATCCTCAGCTATCTTGCGTTTTCTCGTCATCATTTTATACGATCGTTTTAAAATTTTAATGAAAGACTAACAAAATAATTAAAAAGAATTTGGTATTTTTAGATTTAACAAAAACAAATTTAATGTCACCAACTGAACGAACTTTTGTTAATCACCTCATATATAGCCATTTTTATGGCATATAAATTCCATTGCATAAAGCAAAATTATTAGGTATGTACATACACGTATGCATGTCGACAGATATTATCTCATATGTGGAATTCATTTTAAAAAATATTTATAGAAATAATTACTTTCGTCTACATATTTTTGTTGATATTACATACATATGAACTTCCATATTATATAAAATTTTAGCACAACAATGAGCTCATTGTAGTGATAGTGCATCACTCAGCACTTTTGCTCTACAGAATACATACATATGTATGTAGATATGCGTACTTTATGCGGCCTAAAGGAATTTTTCCCCTTGCCAGCCACTCAAATTAGGCCGTGAAAGAAAATTCGCGGACGGAACGGAGGTCGACTGATTTCAACTATTGTTGTAAACAAACTGGTTGACAGATGGCGCTCATTTTTAGCATAGTAATTAAGGGCAGTGCTACCAACTCAACAAAAAAAGTGCTGAAAAATATTCAGCGCCGGCATTTTGA